AGAGAGGGGTAAGAGATAACCAATACCCAGGCAAGGATATGTGACCTTTAGCAGATAAGCATTTTCCCCAAAACATCCCCAGGGAGCATATAGAGCAGACCTTCTCTGAGAGGACTAATAATAGGAAAGGCCTCTGGATCTGACTTTAGCAAAGTGTGAAGTAATTAATTTAATTGCTGATGAGTAGTTCACTTAAAAGATACCATCATTCATATAATACACAGCTCCAAGACCTCAGGAGAAAGGGCTGAGGCTTCAGGCTGATCCACATTTTAACCAATCCTTCCCAAATTTTCTCTATAGACAACTGCCCTCTACGCTGCTATCTCCAAGCACAATACTTCCAGTTAATACCACTAGCTGAGACACACCAGGATCAGACCTGTAAGCTGGAGACTCATATCATGGAAGGATTCTGTCCATCTCACTCCAAATAAGTCCAAATTCACTTCACACCACTTCTCCGGATGAGCACAGTACCTGAGAAGGACTAAGAATCCAAATGATCCCCAGAGCAAGAAGGAGAGCTCCAGCCTTCCTCTGCCCCCACATGTAGAACACTGGAGGAGCTCTCATTCTTACAAATAACCACCATCCTTCACATTTGCAATGTCTAGTTTCCCTCATATTTACATATCTATGACACTCAACACACATTTCCAAGGCTCTGTGCAATTCCAGATGAAAAACACATTTTGCAATTTGTTAACCAGCTATTATTTGAAATAAATGGACCATCATCTACAGTATAAATCATTTTATGCCATCATTGATTTTCTTTGCAATGGCATTCAACCTGTCCCTTCTTCTTCTTTTTTTAAATATATTTTTATTTATATCAGAGAGGAAGGGAGAGGAAGAGAGAGATAGAAACATCAATGATGGGAGAGAGTCATTGATCAGCTGCCTCCTGCAAGCCCCACACTGGGGATTGAGTCCGAAACCTGGGCATATGCCCTGACCGGGAATCGAACCGTGACCTTCTGGTTCATAGGTCGATGCTCAACCACTGAGCCATGCCGGCTGGGCGCAACCTGCCCCTTCTCTATCCTCATTCCAACCCTATGAGGTAGACAGGAAAACCACAGTGGAGAGATTTTTTTGTAAATCACAAACTTGGAGGTGGTAGGTCCACCCATTAGATACCTCTGAGCATTGCCATCTAGCAGCCAACATGAATTATTCACCAGCAAGTGGGAGTTGCACCTCCAATTCAGAACCCACTGCTGCATTTGGGATTTGCAACCTCTGCAGAGAAACCTCCCCACACCTCCCAACCCTCCAGAGAAGCCCCAGATGAGAAAGGAGTCTCCACGTGCATATAAATGATTCTTTATGCCCTCCCCCCCATGCAATGGGGGGCAGAGCAGGGGAAGTCCCCCCGCCCTCATGCAGGGAACGGGAGGTCAATGTATACTAGTCTTATTGCCAGCTGCCCTGTGGCCATGGGGTGGGGAATGGGGGGGTCTACAGCCCCTTTCTTCTGGCATTGGTTCCCCCTCACCAAGTCACCATGGTAGAGCTGAGGGGCTGGAGGCCCTAGGAGCTGAGGTAAGGACGGTTCTCTGGGGAAGAAAAGCTGTTCTCCCCACTTGCCCACTGGCTGCCCCAGGATGAGTGTGGGGAATGGAATGTCATCCAAGTGACTCCACCCGGTGGGCAGAAGCCAGACAATGTCTCCAGCTTGAGGCTGCCCACAGAGATCTTCAGTGGTGGGAGCAGTGTGCCCCAAACATCTGGTCCAGGTGGTACCTCCAGCAGCCATGATAGCTCATCTCTGGCCGATGCGTTGACTCAAGATCCCCGCTCCTGGAGTTCAGTTCAGACTGTGGTGACCCTCATGACAACCTCTCGGCCGGAATGGGAACTAGAACGCGCATCTGGTGGCCGAAGCTGTCCAAGGAGGTGCAGGATTGTGTAACCACAGCGCTGAGGCAAGAGCGTCCGCATGCGCTGGGCAGCCGGGGGTCGGCTGGTGGCCCCAGAGGGAGGGCCCGTCCGTGAGGTCCTGGGGCCCGGCTTCCCTGCCGTCCCTCCCCCTGCATCTCCTCCTATGTCCTTGGTCTTGTCATAATTCAGGACCTTCCACTGCTGGTTCACTGCCTGCCAGCGTTTGAAGATGCGGTAGACAGAGGAGCCTTCGTGGACAATGAGTCCTAAGCAAGAGGGATAAGATATCCAGGGTCAACTGCTGCCCAGACCTAGGCCAGAGGTGCTGAAGCAAGCATTTTCCAGAGTGAGGAGATAGGGTTGCAAAAGACCTGGAGAAGCTGGGAAGGGAGGGGCACCAAGATAGCCCTAAGGGCTCTCAATGGTAGAAAATGTGGCCATAAAGCTGAAGGAATGGGGAGGGAAAGTTAAGTGTATGAGTGCAGCGGTTCTCAACCTGTGGGTCGTGACCCCTTTGGCGGTCGAACAACCTTTTCACAGGGGTCGCCTAAGAACATCCTGCATATCAGATATTTACATTACGATTCATAACAGTAGCAACATTACAGTTATGAAGTAGCAACGAAAATAATTTTATGGTTGGGTCACAACATGAGGAACTGTATTTAAAGGGCCAGAAGGTTGAGAACCACTGAGTTAGAGGAAACTGCTCCTCAGGTCAAAGGGAGAGAGGTGCCCTCACCTATGCAGACGACATCCATGAAGCCATACATGCCGTAGCAGATCTGAAATAGCAGATCCTGTCGTTGCCACTTGGCTGAAGGGCTGAGTGAGGACCAGATGAGCCAGGAGATGCTGGCGACGAGGAAGAGAGAGCCCAGAACTATGGCCGCAATCTGGACCTTCTCAATGACTGTCAGGGAGATGGCTTGCCACTGTGTGGGAGAAAGGGTTCCAAAAAGTCACAGAAAGACATGGAGGGCCAGGTGATGGTTAGCCCTGAAAAGGAGGATGCTCCCGGAGCCTTCCTGGAACCCTTCTGGCAGGATTAACACCTGTCTCTTCTGTGCCCTGATCAAACCTAGACTGTGGCACTGCTCAAGTTGTTTGAAACCATGTGTCTGTCCTAGTTTAGAAAGGCAGGATCAGGCAAGTACTCTGAAGCCAGACCATCTAGGTTTGAATTCCAAATTCTAACTCCATCACTTCCTGGCTGAGTAACCTTGGGCAAGTTTTCAAATCTCTTTGTGCACCAATCTTTAAGATGGGGATAATAATGGTATATAACTAATAGAATTATGATGATGATTAAAAGAGTTAATACACACCAAGAGCTTGACACACAGAAAACACTACATATTTGCTATCCTCATTGATATTACTACCTTTTTCTTTTTTGTTGTCCCAGTGCAGTGCCTAGAACAGTGCCTGGAATAAAGGTGGCATGCAATAGTGTCTTTGTAAATAAGTGAAGAAAGGGAGGATTTACAGAAAGACAGGAAATTGTGGGGAGGGGTAAATGAATGGATGAAATAGGCTCCCTGGAGGGTTCCTGACTCTGAATGCTGCAAGGTCCTTACTCCAATCCGGGAGTCCTCTCCGTGCACCTCACCTGCAGTGGGTTCTTGGTGCTGATCGCCAGGACCTGATACTTGAAGTAGCAGAGCTCACAGCTCCAGGAGCCCCTCTCGCTAATCCAGCGGATGAGGCAGGGCTGGTGCGTGCAGCGCACGGAGCCGTCACAGCGGCAGGGGCTCAGAAGCTCCCCCTGGAGGAAGAGTGACGACAGTCCCTGTCAGCTAGCACCACCGGGACCCACTCCTCTCCGCCCTGGGAGATCAGTCACTGTCCCACCTTAGAAAAGCTCAGGCCTTTCACCCCACATAGGGCAAGAGGCTAAGGCTGCAGGACAAAAGAAAAAAGTTAGAGCGCACGGTAAACTTCCCTGACCAAACAGATGAGGATGAAAAGGGACTGGAGCGGAGGTAGGGAACTGGGTCTTCTCTTTTCCCAGAATTTAGGGAGGGTGGTCTTTAAGGCGTCTCGACTGGAAGGCTACCCCTTAGGATCTGAAGGGTTAGGGTTAGAGCTTCAGAGCCAGGCCTTCCTCCCCTTCCATCGCCGTAACGCATGTCACAGGTGTGGCGCACACTGGGCTGGGTTAGCCCTCCGTTTCCAAGTATCAAAAGGGAGAAGGAATTCTGGCGGGTGGGAGCAGGTGTTCCCTTTTAATCCAGGAAATATGTCTCACCGCATAGAGACATCCCCAGCACTATCCCGAGACAACTTTGTCCATACCATTTAAACAAAGAGGACTCTTTGCAATGAGATGGAAAGTTGCAGAACGGGAAGTGGAGAAAAGTGCCCCACGGAGAGAAATGTTGAATGAGGCCAGGGCGCCGGCTGGGCCCCTCCCTTCCAGGTGGAAACCAGCGCTCTCCTCGGCCACCTCCCCAGCCGACAAAGACCCCCGGGGGAGAGGCCGGGGGAGGAAGGCAGTCCCCGTTCGTGGGCGAGGGATGTTGAGCTTCGCCGGGAGAAAGTCCCACCCCTTCCTGGCGACCCCTGATCCCCCTCCACCTCCAACCGACGCTCTGGGCGTCTCCAGCCAGCCCCCCAACCTCACCCGAGTCCCACTCGGGTGCCGGGTCCCGCCCAGGCCCC